GGTTCAAAATGATTACTTTTAACATATTAAAAATCAATAATAATTTGAAAATAATTAATTATAAAAATTATATAATATATAATTAAAATAATTACTAATCTGGATATAATTAAGGAAATAGGAGTTGATGTTGGGTTGGGTTGGTTACATTTTTAACTTTATAATGCTATAACTCATTGAAAAGTGTACGAATCAACACAATTTTTTTATGAGAAATAATATTTTTTAATAATCCCTTTTACATTCGACATACTTTATCTTAATCAGGGTATTAATAAGAAACTAGCAGATCATGCAGCTTTTGTAATAATCCACCAATTTCTTAGAATTAAACACTATCTACTGATTTGCATCGAAGCGTTTCTTATGATAGTGATTTTAATCATTGTCAGATTAAATCTATACTGGACCCAACTATGCAACGTCCCCACTATGCTGCGACTCCACTGTGCTGGGTTTTTATTACTATAGTACCATTTTTAAATTGTGACAGTCGATAATTATTGATTATTTCATTGAAAAAATTTTTTTTTTAATTATTTAAATTTATTTAATAATATAATTATTATTATTATACAATTATTAAATATTATAAAATAAGGTATTAGATAAATTTATTTCCACTTTTATCTTTGTCATATATACTTTTAATTTTGAAAGTATATTTTATGTATTAGTAGTGAATATATGGTATATATTATGCATAGTGATATTACAATAATTTTATCTTTATTTTTCCCATACCATCAATACATTAAAAATGTTTAACTTATTTACTGTCAATAGTTATAAAAATGTTGACTGAACTTGCTAATCTAAGTAATGAAAAAGTGTAAATTATAAAACTAATCCATCAGAAATTAATATTCTTATTTAACTTGAATTCTAAACTTGCCACTTAAATAAAATATCTGTTGTTCAAAATTTTAGCAAATAGTAAAAAAATACCATAGAAATTAGAAAATTCTTTAAATATTCATTAATTTTGAAAATATACTTGAACTGTGAATTGAATAATCATGTATTGAATAAGCATATCAAAAAAGAAAGAAATAATTTAAAAATAGTCTATTTATTTTAAAAATTAAAAATGTTCTTCTAATATTCAGATATTAAATAAGAAAATTTGTAACGCCTTTTAAGAGATTTAAGCATTATTATACGTGTTATTTAATAATATGAAATATAAATATGTAATTTTATAATATTTTTACACATGTCTATGTAAATATATATAAACTTTAATATAGATAATTTAAAAATAAAACAAACTCATAATAAATAACCTATGTATTCCAAAACAGTATAGAAGTTTTTCATAGGTAGACGATAAATACATCACGTATGTAATACAATACAAATTCGTTATAAATCTACTCTCCAATCGCCAACGACTATTGTTAATACGAGGCAGCTAGACCATAAGACAACTAGTTGTGCACCACACTAGAATGCCGTTTTACCTTAAGCCTGTTTTAATCGCTATTATTGAAGCGGGAATGGGTCACCTACGGGATGGCGGCTAACTGTACATCCAATAAGCAACGAGAGTAGACAATAATTAAATAACAAATAACCACATATATAAGAAATTCTTAAGAGAGTATCTTAAATTTAAGGGATAACGGGGGGCCCTTAAATAATAATGGCTGGCGAAGCGGCATAAAACAAAATAGTTAATTTCAATTAAAACAAACAATAAATAGCATTAAAAATAATATAAACTCAGCTGGTTAGATGAAGTTGTTGAGAGTGATGAGTGGACTGTATGTGATTTTGTGATAATGGTGTCGAACATCTGAATATGACGAGTCAGAGTGTAGATCCAGGCACGTAATGACAGACGGCTAAAAAGTGGATTGGCAATGAAGATATTTAGGCCTAATCACTAGTGGGGTGCAAGGGCACGAACACTTTGAGCACAAGGGTAACAATAAACAAACAAAAGAATAACATTTTTAACTGTAATGTTTAATTTTTGTATTAATTAATTGAGTGATTAAAACATTAATTATATCTATTAGTATATATAATTAAAACTAAGGAAAAATGTTTTTTTTTAAACTATTTAAAAATTATATATTTAGAACTTAACCCACAACACATTTGTGGGTTAAGCTTATTGATTAGATAATAATTAGTTTGAAAAGTGACTGGTTGATAAATTATACACAAATTATAATTATATAAAGTGTGTATGAATTTATTCATACACACTTTTGGGAAAATAGCCATTGTTATAATTTATAAACGAAAAAATTAAAAAAAAATTATTTAAAATAATCTCACTTTCTGCTGAAGAATTTGGTATAGATGATGCAGATTCATTGAACAACAACATATTAATAGATATATTGTCTTTTTGTGCTTCACAAATAAAATAAACAACAACTGAATATATTAAATCATTACCGTAATTATTATTATTATTGTTTTATTTTATAATAATTGTAATTTAAAATAATTATTTTTAAAATTTAAGTAAATAAATTGAAAGATAAGTAACAAAATGTACAGAATTCCTTACATTATCTTTATAAATCATTTATATTCCTAAATAAAATGAAAAACAACTAAAAAATGACATTACACTATACATAGATGTCAGTACAAGTTTTGTGTGTTAGTGTCCATTGGTTTTAATTTATCAAAATTTTATGTTATTTATTTACAATCGTTTTGTGCAAAATATGAATTTTTTTTTTTGCATTAATCGTTATTTTAATTTAATCACTACCATTAAATTTTGTGTTAATCAAATTAAGCCAAAATGAAAAAAATGAAATTCTTAATAAAATGCTTGGGAATGTGGAGATATGGAATCAATTCAAGAATATAAAAGTTAGACGTGGAAATATCGAAAACAGGAAAATAATCACAGGTAATGACATCTTTGATAATATTGACTACAACAAATATATAGATAGAATAATACACAATTTGTTGAAATGCCTGTTGAATTACGTTTGTCAAAATATTTGCATGTTAATTCAAGCAATTATGAAGAAAAGGTAGACTTAATTTTTAAATTCATAAGATGTAAGTGTTAGGAACAAATTAAGTTGTGTAATCGATTTTTGTCTTGCATGGCAAGTGTTTATAAAATGGTCTATGATGAAGAAATAATAACGTCAAGGATTATAAAAATAAGTATCCCGACAACAAAAAATCAACTTAATTATGATGTAAAGAATTTTGAAACTGAAAAAAATTCCCGTATCATCATTTTTCATCAAATTCATACAATATAAGGAATTATATCAGAAAAAAACAAAATCAATGTAAGAATTACTATTTTAATAACTAGGAAACACATATTTTCTAGACAAAATATTTAGTTTCAATGTTTAAAAATGTACAAATTATCTAACAATCTAAATACTTTATTATTATAAATAGATTACATATATACATATACATTTTGAAATGACAATATAGTGATAGGCACAAATAATTTATAATTATTATTATTTCAGTTTATATCTAGTGTGACTATAAATTTTATACTTTTCAAGAAATCTGTCAGTATTTGGTTAATATACATAATCAAAAATATTTCCAAACAATTTTTTATATAACTAATAATAATAAAATAATTATATTTTTCTAACAAATAAGAATATAATATAATTATACAAATTTAAGTGTTGAATTTACAGTGTACTTTATTAATATAAATCATTCGATTTTTCTTAAAAAAACAACTATTATAAAAACTTGATTTGGCATTTTTAAGTTTCATATATGTTTTATAAACATTAAAAATTGATAATTGAATATTGTGTATCAATAGTTACTTTATTTAATGTCAACAGTGTAAAAAAATCACAAGTATCTTTTACATAAGAGTCAAAGTAATAACTCATATATTCTGCAAAGCTTACCTTAAAATCTGTATTAGCTCTTTTATAATCAAAGTATTTTTTTGTACATGTATACAAGTTATCAATAATGTTATCATAAGAACATGAATTTTTTGAAGAATAACGCAAATCCTTAAATGATTTATCTAATGTTTTTTTCAAATTACTTGCAAAAAAATCATCATCTTTAGGTATTGGCATATTTACTATGGACACTAGTTTTGAAAAAAGTGCGTCAGTAGAACTTACATTATCTTTACCATAAGGGAATAAACTTTTAAAAAACATTACATACAACTGAAGTCTACATGCTAATTCTTTATATTCATAGATTTTTCTTTTAAGCAAATCCTTTGTTTGTAAGGTCATTGTTCTATCTTGTGTTTTTATTTCATCATCACTATTTATGTATGCCAAAAATCGATTACAGAACTTAATATTTTCCCAACACTTACATTTTACGAATTTTAAAATTAAATCTACCTTTTTTTCATAATTGCTTGGATTAACGTGCAAATTTGTTGACGAAAGTAGCTGTGTATTATTATGATGTATATTTATATTGTCGTTAATATCAAAGATTGTATAAACTCGTAATTTTTTATCTCCACTTCTAACTTTTATATTTTCGAATTTTTTCCATATGTCCACATTCACAAGTAATTCATTAAGTTGTTGAATTTTTTGACATCGGTCTAATATGGTTAATACAAAATTTGACAGTAGTGATTGAATTAAAATAACTATTAATACAAAACAGTTTAGAAAATTCATATTTAACAATATAAAAGTTTAAATAGATAGTATCAATTTTTATAAATCAAAACTAATGAACACTAACACACAAAACTTGTACTGAGATCTATGTATAGTGTAATGCCATTTTCTAATTTTCTTTAGTTNTTGTACTGAGATCTATGTATAGTGTAATGCCATTTTCTAATTTTCTTTAGTTATTTATTTTAAGTAGAGATATAAATGATTTCTGATTACATTATTTTATTTATATTTTAATTTATTTACCTAAATTTTAAATACGTTATTTATAACATAAATCATTCGAATTCGTCGATTTGTTAAACAATGAAGTACTATACAAATTTAACAAAAATAAAATTATAAAGTGTGAAATTCAAATATTATATTTATTACTACTTAGTATGTTATTTATTAAGTATTTTTTCATCTCTAATACGATACAGGAACATCGACATCATTGTTTTTAATGAAAACGTATAAATATATCAGAGGAATATATATTAAATATTGTAGCTTTTTGTGTTTAAGAAATAACCAATCTTGCAAATTGCAAATTACTATTGTGTTTAACTTCATGTATTAATTTTCTTTTGATATGTTTTATTTAACTTTGTTTTATTTTAAACTATTAGCTTCGATGCAAAGCTGAGAAATAAATAATACTTTTTTGTATTGAAACCTTAGATATTTACCTTTCATTTGATGTCATTTTTTTGAAAATCTATCACTTAACCTGCTCATTGGGGGGGATTTAAAATAGCAACTTTTTTACAAAAATTAACTTTTTCAACTTAATTTTTGAAAATGTTCCGGAAATACTGCGTCCTTTAAACATATATCAAATTATAGCTTATTTTATGTACTATAAAATGAAAAAAAAAATTTGTCCCGACGACCTATCTTCTACGCGCAAATGGCTACCATAATCAAAAATATGCTATTTTAACAAATTTTTTTTTTTAATTAAACACTATTTACAGATTTGCATCGAAGCGTTTTTTATGATAGTAATTTTAATCACTGTCAGATATCATCTATACTGGACCCAACTATGCCACGATCCCACTGTGCTGGGTTTTTTTTATATGTAAATACTTATTTTTTAATAATAAGTAATAATATTAAAACTTAGAAGTAATAGAAAAAGTTTAATTGCACATTTGAAAACATCGCGAAAAGTTTATTTAGAAAAGTATATTTTTTTTTCTGATGAAAGTTCCTTTTGTTTAGTGTATTTATTCATAAATAACAAACATTTTTTATTAAAAAGTATTGCATCAATTCCTTTAAATTTGTATACGCATTAAAAGTATATGAATATACAACTCCTTTTTATTTTTATAATACCTCCGTAAAAATTATAATTTTATATTATTGAATACCACTTTCATACTCAATTTAATTACTGTAATTATTATGTATTCATATATTATAGTTATAAATCGGGGTAAAATTAAGGGAATAAGTGTTATTGTTGTTTTTGAAATAATCTACCAATTTAATTTTTTTCTATTTAATAATATTTATTTCAAACTTGCAAGTTGAGTTAAAAGTTATGGTAATAAATTCATTTTTTTTTNCCCACTATGCTGCGACTCCACTGTGCTGGGTTTTTATTACTATAGTACCATTTTTAAATTGTGACAGTCGATAATTATTGATTATTTCATTGAAAAAATTTTTTTTTTAATTATTTAAATTTATTTAATAATATAATTATTATTATTATACAATTATTAAATATTATAAAATAAGGTATTAGATAAATTTATTTCCACTTTTATCTTTGTCATATATACTTTTAATTTTGAAAGTATATTTTATGTATTAGTAGTGAATATATGGTATATATTATGCATAGTGATATTACAATAATTTTATCTTTATTTTTCCCATACCATCAATACATTAAAAATGTTTAACTTATTTACTGTCAATAGTTATAAAAATGTTGACTGAACTTGCTAATCTAAGTAATGAAAAAGTGTAAATTATAAAACTAATCCATCAGAAATTAATATTCTTATTTAACTTGAATTCTAAACTTGCCACTTAAATAAAATATCTGTTGTTCAAAATTTTAGCAAATAGTAAAAAAATACCATAGAAATTAGAAAATTCTTTAAATATTCATACATTTTGAAAATATACTTGAACTGTGAATTGAAAATTGGTATGATATTATCTGTTATTTTTCATTTGAATAACAAAATTTAAAAACACTATATTTTTTGATAACATAATATTATTACAATCAATAATAATATCAATTGGTAGTCATCGGTTAATCAACGACTACCAATTATTGCATTGCCTACGGTAAGGGCTGTTTCACTTACAGATAAATTAAAATTGAAAATAGGCACTAATAAATTATGCGGCTCGTGATAAATTTTAATGTAGATAACTATTTTAAATGTCTCGACTTTTGTGGATGCTCTCGCTGTTAAGTTAATTATACACTTGCATGCTAAATTTTCTTTAAATNCCAATCGCCAACGACTATTGTTAATACGAGGCAGCTAGACCATAAGACAACTAGTTGTGCACCACACTAGAATGCCGTTTTACCTTAAGCCTGTTTTAATCGCTATTATTGAAGCGGGAATGGGTCACCTGTGGGATGGTGGCTAACTGTACATCCAATAAGCAACGAGAGTAGACAATAATTAAATAACAAATAACCACATATATAAGAAATTCTTAAGAGAGTATCTTAAATTTAAGGGATAACGGGGGGCCCTTAAATAATAATGGCTGGCGAAGCGGCATAAAACAAAATAGTTAATTTCAATTAAAACAAACAATAAATAGCATTAAAAATAATATAAACTCAGCTGNGAAAAGTATATTACAACTCCTATAGGCATAAGTTTGGAAACGTTGTTGCGTATTGAATAATAATAATGTTATAATGACCACTGATAATTTTTGTGTAAACTTACAAACTACTACCTGTAATATGTTTGACAGCATGACGTGCTTAAAGTGACACTAATTGTCGATAAAGCGACTATAACAATTGAACGTTTCAACGGTCACAGATAAAAGTGTACACTAGTTATGTATGTTAGATATCAATGCTAAAACTCCTATAGGAAAAAGTCCGGAAACATTATGTTATGGATTGACCGATAATGCTATATTCTACAAATACCCCAATTAAAGATCGCGTATAAGAGAGTGATTTTTAAAATGTCCATTTAAGTTCTTTAATAAAAATTTTTTTTTTCTTAATAAATTTGCAGATAATTTGCAATTGATATCATTTTTATAAAATTAAATTCATAAAAATGATCATAGCAAAATCTGTCTTCAAATAGGACACTTTTCTACCCTTAAAACAACGATTATTTAAAAATGGTTTAACATAAAAAGTTATTTTCACCATAATTCTTTTTAAAATTGAATTCTCTATTGAAATTAGTAAAAAAAATTAGGGGTTGCCATTTAAATTTCTTAAGTTAGGGTAGATTTCTACCCTTTTGCATTAGGGTTGAATTTTAATTTTAATCGTAAAAGATGCATTTAATTATTCAATTAGCCTCTAAAAAAAAAAAATATTAAAAAAATCAATAGTAGCTCTAAAAAATCGATGTTTCCGAACTTATTGAACATCCTGTATATATATATGTGTTAAATATACATGACACACCACTGACCAATAACCTTATAAACAGCAATGCTAAAATTATTTATAGCTCATAAAAAATAATTTTATAAAAGAAAAAGAGGCTCAATACATTATATTAAATAAATAAAAGAAAAAACAAGAATACGATACTCAGTCCCGGATGGGACTCATCCTAAGATGGGGATCTCGGCCCCGGAAATGGTCGACGCCTTGTTGAATTAGTGCATTATTAAAAGAACGACACTCAAAAGAAAAAAACTATAATTGGCTGCACGCACACAGCAAACAGACCACGACGGTGGTTCAAAGGGAAGAGAGCACGAAAAAAAATTCCTACANAACTCAAAAGAAAAAAACTATAATTGGCTGCACGCACACAGCAAACTGACCACGACGGTGGTTCAAAGGGAAGAGAGCACGAAAAAAAATTCCTACACACCGGGCGAGACACAACGACGACGAACCCGTTTGGAAGAGGGTATCGGCTTAACGATTTACAAAATATACAACAGATAAAATTATGAACAATATTAGAATTATACAGGTATGGACAGTGGTGGCCAGTGTATGTGTCATATAGGGAACGATTGTTAAACTGATAAAGAATATTGTGTGTACAGCGTTCACCTTGACAGCAACAGTACAGTTTTCTGATTACACGGCCGGATATAACGTACGCGCGCCCATTAGCAAAGCAAAACAGTAATCTATCAATATCATAAAATTCACATTTTGTCACGTTACAANCTATATCCTAAAATTCTTATTTTGTCACGTTACAAGATCATAAATTATATGAATTGTCAGTTAGATTTGTTTCACCTGTATACATATATATTACTTTATTCAAATATACAAAAGCTGTTCCAAATAGGTACAATAAGAGTATTAGCTAAAAGTAAAAATACAAAATGAATACTTGATAAAAGAGGCCACTCATGAATAGCACTTTTAAGAAGTGATTATTCTTATTATTTATTTTTTTATTAAGATTTTTATATAAAATAAATTATTTAATCACTACACTCATTTTTCAAAAAGCTCTGGAACCTTCGAGTACCAAAATAGCATAATGATAGAAGGTGAACTTTTACAGGAAAATTACATTTTTTTTCAACTTCAATGGCCATTTACATATAAAAGATAATGCTTCGGATTAAATTCATTTTTTTAATTAACAGTAAATAACTAAAGATTTAATTTAACATATGTTTTAAGGACGCAATATTTCCGAAACACATTCAAAAGCTATGTTGAAAAATTTAACTTTTATGTGAGTAATTACAGTCTTATAGAACTTACGTTTCAGCCTTTCTTATCGCATAACACACCTGGTACTACATTCCTCTTCACGCACCCGAACATAATTCTGTGTCTTACATCCTTGTTAATACCACCATTGTTTTGCAAAATTGATCCTAATACTTAAAATTCTCCTCCTCTTCTATCACGACCTCGTCAATTATCACTGATTTCATCATTTCACCTACCTGGTGTTCTCCTTTGTCAAATTGTCGTACTCTGTATGACTCTTAATCCTACTGTTAATGCTTTTTATTCAAGAGCTGATCTCCACACTTCTAGCTTTTGATTAATTTCCTCCCTATTTTACCCTATAAACACTATATCACCAGAAAACAAAATGCACCATGGCACCATGATAAAGTTTGAGAATCCTAGTGACACGTCAAATACTATTGTTTTATTATCATTTAAAAAACATTGTCGATTCCCCATTAGACAAAGTATTATAATTAATAATACTTATTACATAGTACGATATTTGAGATAAATAAGTAACAAAAGCTAAAAAATATCTAAACATTTATTACTTAATTAGTTATCACGTGGACAAAGATTAAAGAATCATTCTATATAATAAAAACCATATAAATTGTTAATTTGTTTTATTTTTATTTTTTACAGATTATTTATCCAAATTTCACAAAATATAATAACTTAACATGAGAAATTGTAAATAATGAATAAGCTCAAAACAAAGTATTACAAAAACAATAAGATAGGTAATGAACAAAGAAAAAATGTTAACTGAATAATTCTTTAAAAGTCCATATAGGAAATTATAATTTTTACATTTTCTTTAATGAAGAAAATAATAAAAGTCTGAGACTATAACACGCTTAATAAAATATTAATAATAGAAAATACCTACCGATCTTGATTTAGCAAGCATCTTTTATAAACGTGATAATTATTACATGTGTTGACAATTACATAAAATTATTTGATATTCTATAAATATGGTATGTATAGTAGTACAACAAAATAATGTAAAGTTTTCTTCTTATTACACCATATTTTTCATTTTAGTAAATATCATAATTTCTTATTTTTTTTGTGAAAGCAAATTTTGATACGTTACATTTATTATGTGTTTTATACTTGACGGATTTAATAAATTATTTATGCGTGGATCTGAAAAAAATAATATGTACATTATTAATTGTAAATTATTCAAAAGTCTTAACAAATAATTCGTCAAAATTCATGTAAAGAGGACAAATAAATTTTGAAAATCTTCCATATAAATGATAATTTCATAAAAAAAATAATTTTTTTATTCCTTAAAAAACAGCATAGATTTTCAAGTTTTACTTTTGCATGCATTCTATTAACTTTAATAAAAGTAAAGCATTTATCGCCGTTAGAAATTTTTATTAAATAAGAAGATATTTATTGAATTAAAGGCGTTATTTTCCATTTATATTAATGTAACTATATGGAAAGAAAATTTTGAAAATGAACAATATTAAAAAAAGATTGAGATTACATTATTTCATTCTGTATAAAAATGATTTTTTCTAATAGTGTTTTATTTATCTTATAATTATAATAAATTATTTTTTATAATTAGAACATACCATCAGTATGGAAGAGTTCAACTTTTTTGCTGCATATTGGGCACATGGGTTGATAATTGTTATCACTTATATGTTTAGCACAGTTTATACCTATACTGTGAAGACAAGGTTTTAAGACTACATGTCTCAGTTCATTTTTGCATGCACATTTTTCTATTGACTCTAAATAATATATGTAAGGTTATATTAAAATATAACAAACAATTGTTTAATGTATGTAATGGGGTGACCCCATAAAAATTTATTTAATTAAAATCATACTTAAAAATCTCCAGTAATATAAAAAATATAAACCTCGAAATTACATTAATTTTTTTATTTTTTATTTTAAATTGTTATAACCATCTATTAGTAATTCTTAATCCACACAATAATACTTTTTACTTTTTATTTGTTTAAATATTTCTAATTTATTTTTTAATATGTTATTATGTCTAAAAGAATAAATTAATTTTTTTCCATAACTAACTTTGTTTATTCTAATTAAATTTAAATCCAAAATTATTTCCATTTTATAAAGGTTAATGAAAATTTATTAAATAATTACTTATATTTTTATAAAAAACTATTTCTTTTTTGCATAATGGACATTGAATCATATGCCGAGCTAATAGCTCATTAGCACAATCATTGCACATTTTATGACCACAAGGATTTAATATTACAGTCAATGGTTTTTCGAACTGACATATAAAGCATACTTCTTCATCATCTAATGTGAAATATTAGATTAAAAAAAAATTAAAACAAGTATACTAATGAATCTTGCATTCAAAATAAAATATTTTAATTAAACATTAACAGCTTAAAAACTATAATAAAATTAGGCAAATTGTGTTACACTGTTTTTTTGACAATATTAAATTTTGGTATACTTAAACGTATTAAGTTAAGTCCTTATTTTGATTAGATAATTTGATTAGTTTATGTTTATGAACACAAGTTCTTTATTTTTTATAAGTAATCAAACTCATGCTTTGAAAACGATTTATAACTATAACGTTTTTCGAACTTCTAAAAAAGTGTTAATTTATCAAGAGGAATTATTTTTCAATAAAAAAAAAAACGATATTTATATATACATTTTTAATGAAAATATTATTTTTCCAAAAACGTTATAAATATAATTTTTTTAATATAATACGAAAAATATACGCAAACAAGAAATAGATTTAAATATTATTAACAAAAATTTGATATGACAAAACTGTTTGAACGGAATGCCTGGTAACACTACACCCAGAGAAAAACTTCGATCTATATAATAAATTCATTGTTCAATTTCATAAATATATCATTACTATTGAATCTATGATATATTTATCAATATGATGATTTTTTTTCTTGTCTTGAACAATAATTATTCATAAGAATAATTATTTTGTTCGTATTAATAAAACATTATCATAAACCCTTGATAAAATTTCTCTATCAAAATTGATTGAGGTTTTTCTTTGGGTGTATTATGGTTGGTTAACGTTCGGTTTCTTTATATATGATTTTGTTGGAGAAAGAAATACGGAGTGGACTGTATATATAAGGATGGTCCTTACACTAGAAGTTATAAGAATTATAAAACAAGGGTTATATATTAAAATAATAATTAATATAAAATGTCATAGAACTGTGGACTGAAGGGGGTTTTCTTCTTCATAAGTCCATTTTCCAAAAACGGAAGTTTGGTGACCCATTAGTTAACGTTAGCAACAATCCCTTTCCAAAACTCACGGTTTTCTACTGATCGAATAGTCTCTCTCAGAGGATAACCATTGATGGTCTTGATTTGATCTATCCAACGCATTGGTATACTTCCACGACTTCTTTTACATTCGATTAATTGTTTCTCCAGGCTCGATCTATCCCTTCTTATAATATAGTCAAAGAACCTTAAGATCCTCTGCTTACATACCATGGACGCTCATTGTTTCCGCCAAACCGATAGTTTATACTTGTCTATAAATAGAAGCTTGAGAACCACTGGTTAAAGTATTTTCCAAAATAATCCAATAATAATTATCTACTGTATTATTCATTTAATCGAACTTTTTACTATTTTTTTATTGTTATTAGATAGCAGTGCATTGATAATTGTAAATCGTTTCATTCTCATTTTAATAAACGATTTTTGAATGCGTATCCTTCTACTAATATAATTTAAAAAATGTAATAGAAAATATTTAGTCTTATAATTGTATTTAAATATATAGTTTTGATAATGTAGTCTCAAAAAGCGTACGGAATAAAATTGAAATCCGTTTCAAAAAACCCAGCACAGGGGGGTCGCGGCACAGTGGTGACGTGGCATAGTTGGATCAAGTATAATGATATCTGACAGTGATTAAAATCACTATANATTTGTGAAATTAGTTTTCAACAACTATCGGATAAATGTATAGATCATAGATCTATTTATTTCCATTTTTTTACACATATTAGATATTTTTTAAGCTTATTATTAATATTTGAATTTTTTTCAATGTTTTGATGACTTTTTAATTTCTTATAAACTATATTTTTATTATTTATTACAAATATATATACATATAAATACTTAAGATAGTTATCTATTTAATTATGTACCTTAGGTAAAACGTCATATTTCTTTATAAAGTTATACCTATGTGATAAAATAAGTAATTATTCAAAACGACGTGTCCACATTTAGGGGCGGTTAAGGGAGGGAATTCTTGGGGGCGAATGTCACTTGATAGTGATAAGACGGAAAATTACTTTATTTTACTCAATAATATTAATACCCCACGCAAAAATATTAAATACATACCTGAACGTAGCATTCAATTAATGCCAAACAATTTGGTATTGGCCACTACCTAACCTGCCCGTATGCTAAAACCGATACTGGCAAGTCGTGGTGACCCATGGATAAAACTAAATGTTTTTCAAATTTTTTAATTGATAGACAGATAGAAGATCAGTTTGGCGGAAACGATAATTTCCCCACACCACTGCCGGTCTTGTTTCCATATTAAGCATGGTCTGAATTGATTGATTGGTCCTCCTTTCTATCCAGAAAATTCTCAAATATACAGGGTGACTTTTTTATCATAACCCACTCAATTACTTAGAGAATAATAATAATTAAACATTTTTTTTTTTTGATTATCTTTAGTTACACTTTATTTTTGAAATATTGACTATGTAATACTTTTTAAGTTCATCCTTTATGCCTTGTATGGGTGACAACATTGTTTTTTTAAATGGGAACACATATTTTGAATTAAATAAAATGTTTAAGTTTTTAATTTAGTAGTAAATGACATTAGAATTTTTAATATTACTTTATTTGTTCAAATGCCATTTTTAACAAAAAATTTAAATAAATAATTTATAGAAATATTTAAAAAAAAACGCATGNACTATTAAATTAAAAACTCAAACATTTACCAAGTTCAAAAATCTCTACATTAATATGTAGTCAAATCATTATGTTTTTCGTCCCTTTAGGGATAAAATTCCTTATTTATAATTTTCTTAAATTGGAACCCTTATTTTTAATTTTATGATACGATAAAAAAAAAAAAAAATTACAAACAACTTAGTTCGTACAATTTTGTTTTCCGAATAACCGTTCGTCCGTTACAGCTTGTTAAAGTTGAGTGATTTTAGGCCAAGTTTCTATTGTTATATTACTGTATTAATACAGAAGTCATTATTTTCATTTGCTGTTGCATAAATCAAATTTTATTGATCAAGTTATAACAGGTAAATTAGCTATAAAAATTTACGACGCACTAAATGAGTGATAACAATAATAGATTTAAATCGGGTTTTTGGTGTATTATTATTAGCAAAGTCTATGGGTGCGTAAGACTTACAAAGCCAAGGCACAACAGGAATTTCAAAATAAAACCATAAATTATATGGCGTACATACAAACGTAGGCACTATAAGATTCTAACAAATAAAAAATGTATGAAAAGTTAGTGTCTGTTACTTTTGGAGCTTATAAATATAGCAAGATTTTATCAATTCTGAAATTGATGTTTTATAATTAAGTATTGTTATTTTTACAGAGAGATTATAAAAAATTACAAAGAAGTTATTATTTTAATATCATACGTGCATAAAATTTACAAAGCTCGATGCAATACTAAAAAAAAAAAAATTGTTTGTTACTTATAAATAAATTTACTGGTCTAAAAGGAATTTTCAACAGATTCAAAAATGTACTTTTCTAAATCTGTTTTTCTGATCAAATTTGCGATTAGAGTTTCGTATATGGACTCAACAATAACAAAATTCTTATTAATATAACAAATATTTATGCTTGTTTATTAATTATGTATGAATAATTAATAAACAATTTTAATTGAAAAAATACGTAACAAACAGAAGGTATGTGCAATATATCAATATAAATAGAATTTTTAATAAATAAATCCAGTTTTGAGTATTACAGTTGTAACACCTATTTAAAAACTAAGTATTATATAAAAAAAGATTACTCAGAATTCTATTTAAATGATTTATTACAGTAAAATACGAAATAAAAAATTATTTAAACGAAATTTTGAGCTTCCCTTACTGATAATAATAATTATATAAGTTTCTGATCATATATCAATCTTAAGAATACAATATTTTATCATGAAAAAGTTATAGAAATATAAAATTAAAAATATAAAATCTAGAATTTCATAAATAAAACTAGCATATTACTGAATAAAGTAGCTTTTATCACCATGATGCCAAAATAAAGTACGACACTATTTTTTTCTATTAAAATATATTACATACTCTTTTAACTATTTATAAAAGTTTCAGTATTTCCGGATCACTTTCGAAAGTTAAGTTGAAAAAGTTATCATTTTTAATATGCTCCTGGAGCAGGTGAAGGGTTAGATTTTCAAAAAATATATACTGAATTATAGGAAAGCACCTAATGTATCGATAAAAAAATTTGTTTCTACTCATCCGTTTTTCAAAAAGTTATGTCAAATTTAAGTAAAAAAAAAAAATAAATAAAAAATGCAGAAGTTACCCATTTTTAAATTTGTAATTTTTTAGAGATTTTTTCTTATTTACGGGAAACAAAGGGAATATAAAATATTCAATTTTTGTAGGTAAGATTTGTGATTTTTTGAAATAATTTTCACCAAAATCGGTCCAGTGAGAGCTGAGAATAAGTGGTAACAGATACAAAAAAAAATTTTTTAACAAAAAATTTAAATAAATAATTTATAGAAATATTTAAAAAAAACGCATGGTTTTAAATTTGGCACGACTTACGTCGCAAAAATGTGGTCGACACTGGTTATGAGGGTAGAGACCCGTGAGCCATTTATTAAATGAGCGACAACAGGTTATTTTAACAAAAAATAAAACAAACCGAAAAGACAAACACAATAATAAAAATCTTCGCATAATATCGCGGCACTTTCGCTGGCGTCGACGACGCGATGTCCGGCGTAATTCTTGGACGGCAACAGGTTAGCGACGGTACGCTAGTGTAAATCGTTTGGTCGACGTTGTCGCTTTGACAACGGGAGGAAGACTACCGCACCATTTGCGGCGGGTCGTCGTCGGCCGTGCGGCACTTGCTGGACTTTGCACCGTGGCGTATGGCACGCGGTGTTGGTCAGTCAAATACTCATAAAATAGGGAGACGGCTGATAAAGGTGGCACGAGCCGCGGGGCATCGTGTATAACGAAGCGACGCGGGCCGTGTCAAATTATATTATAATATAAGCG